TATATATATATATATATATATATATATATTAGTTTAACTATCCTTTTAACACAATTATATAAACAAAACTGTTTTTTCTTTAAGAAATTAATATTTTTATTTAGCATAGATGCATTAAATTGATCAAAAGTGACATTAAAGATATTTGTTACAAAAGATTTTTCTATCTAAAAAACAAACAAACAAAATTTTACTGTATTTTTGATCAAATCTTGAGCATTCTTTGTGAGTATAAGAGATACCCTTCAAAAACACGAAAATCTTACTGGCCCCAAATTTATGAATGGCAGTGTATGGCTTGAAAACAATGGATTACAGTTCAGAACAGACTAAAAGTGATCTCATTTCAAGGGAAAGTACACATGCGGGACAATGATCCAAGATCATAAGGGCGTGGGGTATATATAGCATTAATGTGAGAAAGTGAAGCCTATCCCAGTCACAGAGTAAATAATGAGTCACTGTGGGAATAGAGACCTGTGCGACTATTCTTCAAGGACAGGGAATAAAATGTGATCGTATTACAAATGCAAAAATGCCCTAATGATTATTTAAAGAGATTGAAGGAGGAGTTCATTAGTTTAAACTCTACAATAATGATTTGACAACACATGTACTCACATTCTCAGATTTCACCACTGCAATTCTATCAATGATGAGTTTGAACTCTTCTCTGTATTTGGCTGGAGGGAAAAAAGGGAGATTAAAGTGTCATGAGTATGTGCTGGCAAACATTTTTTTCCCAACATATTTTCCAAATTTATCTTAAGAGAAAGGTTACTCGTGCAATATGACCTTGCATTCGTTCTTTCCTTTGTAAACCTAAACTCAACATCAGAAGAAAACCCAAAGCATATCAGAGGCTAGAGGCTTCCTTCTGTGGAACACAAAATTAGTTACATTTTCTAAATGCACTTTTTTCTTTTGTGTTCCACTGAAAAAAGAAAGTCATACAGGTTTGGTCGTGAGGGTGAGTAAAAGATGACAGAGTTAGCATTAGCTATAAAGGAATAGGACAAAAATTAAAATTTGCTGAAAATTTACTCACCCTCAGGCCATTCAAGATGTAGTCGAGTTTGTTTTTTCATCGCAACAGATTTGGAGAAATTTAGCATTACATCACTTGCTCACCATTTGATACTCTGCAGTGAATGGGTGCCGTCAGAATGAGAGTCCAAACAGCTGATAAAAACATCACAATAATCCACAAGTAATCCACACCACTCCAGTCCATCAGTTAAAGTCTTGTGAAGTGAAAAGCTGCATATTTGTAAGAAACAAATCCATAATTGCAGGGTTTTAAACCGTCACTTCTGGCCAAAATTCCAGTCCATAATCCATAATAATGCTTCCTCCAGTGAAAAAATTCATCATTTGTTGTCCTCTCCTGATTATGACGAGCTGACTTTTTCACTGGAGGAAACAATGTTGTGGACAGAGGACTCAAATTTTAGCTGGAACCAACAGTTACATTCAAAGACGCAGCTTTTTGCTTCACAAGATGATAATTTATGAACTGGAGTTGTGTGGATTACTTGTGGATTATTGTAGTGTTTTTATCAGCTGTTTGGACTCTCATTCTGACGGCACCCATTCACTGCAGAGGATCCATTGGTGAGCAAGTGATGTAATGCTACATTTCTCCAAATCTGTTCCGATAAAGAAACAAACCCATTTACACCCTGAATGGCCTGAGGGTGAGTAAATTGTTTAGCAAATTTTCATTTTTGTGTGAACTTCTCCTTTAAAAACAACATTTCCTGATTTGTGATTGAAATTAAACCTTGAACTAGGGATGTAACGGTATGAAAATTTCTTATCACGATTATAGTGACCAAAATGATCACGGTTATCAGTATAATCACGGTATTGTTAAAATGTGCTGAAAATGTTCAAAAAGTACTGACACATAAATCATTTCACCAAGTTTTACATTTAAAATCAACAAACAACAAATAAAATTAGTTTTTGTTTGCATAACTAAAACAATAACATTATCAATGATGTTCGGATTTTAAATGACAACATGACTGACAACAGTTTATCTAATAGCATGTTCAAATATCTCATGTAAATGTTCAAATAAAGCTTTGAAAAAGTTTCATAAATGGTAAACCTCACATTTCAGCTTTTAAATAAAGAAAAGGGTCAAGTTCAAATTATAATTGATTAATAAATGATTATATGTATTTTATCTGCTCCATAAATAATACTAGATACCTTATTGTTTAAATGTGTAGAATCCACATAAGCTTGTTTTTCATCAACCAGTCAAAATTTACAGCAGGGCATGCAAATTCGGTCCGTTTTTTGGCCAGACAAAAACTGCATCCAGGCTTTCCCACTGATGCGACTAACTTTCTCAGTTGGTCACACCAGCACATGATTTGGTCGCAATATTTTAATTTTTTTAATTTTTTCAATGCATGCTGATGAACTTTTATCATAGTTTATAGTTATATGAAAACGAAAGAGGTTAACATTCAACCCCTTCTTTTTCATCAGTATTATTTGGGAGTTCCTCTTTTGCAATGTTATAAGCCGGGCTTCGGACGCTTTCACCTTCAAATTCGCAATTTTGGTGTCACGTTTTACAAGAAAAGATAATTGGCTGATTTGCTTACATACATCTACACACCTTTCACTTTTTAAGACTAAAACAAAAGATGGATTCATTGTTATTCTTCATTAAAAAGAATAACAACAATAAAACAGTAAGATACAATGACAAACTAGCTTACAAAACGTTTATTAACAAAAACGAATAAGACGAGG